CAGACTGATGATTATCTTAAATATCACCATAGAACCTTCATCCAAGAACAGATGGAAAGAGAGGCAGAGAACCACATCAGAGCACTGGACCAAGCTCCCAAGGTCCAGTTGAAGAGTAGAAGGGGTGAGAATGTGAGCAAGGAGGCCAAGACCATGAGGGGTTCACCCACGGAGACTGTTTGCCTTAGCTAATGGGAGCGCACCAACTCCAGCCAGACTGGGAGTGAATGAGCATGGGATCAGACTAGTACCTCTGAATGTGGCTGACAGTTGAGGCAGACTGAGGGGCCCCTGACAGTGGCACTGGGATTTGTCTCCCCTGCATGTACTGGCTTTTTGGGATCCTATTCTCTTTGGATATATGCCTTGCTCAACTTAGATGTAGTAGGGAGGGCCTTAGATTTGTCACAGGGCAGGGTGCCTTGTCCTCCCTTAGGACAGGAGGGGGAGAAGTGGAAGGGTGTGTGGAGGGATTGGGAGGAGAGAAGGGAGTGGAAATTTGGATTGGTATTTTTTTAAATAATAAAATAATTTTTTAAAAGGTCACAGCAAGAGAAGAGGACATTAATTTTTGTCATATAATAATTTTATTTATCCTTAATCACATTTGGTGTTTTTGTTCATTTGCTTAATAAGACAGGGACAAAGGAAAGAGGGGAACCACTTCCTAAGTGGCTGGGAGGCTAAGGGAAGAGGATCCAGAGTCAAAGGCCAGCCTTGGGTACATAATAAGATCCTTCCTCAAACAAACAAAAATCACAACATCACAAAAGTCTTAAATGATCATGATCAGTAACAGAGTGTCTCCCCTGAAAAACAGTGTTCCTATGAGCTTACAGATAATGGTGCTTGACCATGCTCAATCATCTGTTGGTACAGCCTGTCTCATCTTGGACGGGCAACTTCAGGGAAACAGAAGCTACAAGAAGGAAACACAAGCTTGGCGTGGCAACCATTCCCATTCCTGTAAAGGGTGGAAGCCATCTTGCTTCTCTGGGGTCTCTTCAACCACCCAGATAGGAGAGAGGCTGCCCCTCACTGTGTGTGCCAATAAGCAGTCCTGTCTGCTGAAAGATCTGGCTCTTGTCTATTCTTCTACCTTCAATCTCTTTACACTGCTCCAGAAATCTAACAACCAGAATGTTGCATTCTGAAATCTGTATTATATTCCTTTTTAAACTTTCTAAAGGAATAAGAATAATATTCATTGTAACTAGTGAAATAATTTTAAGGTTATTGGAAAAAGGTTTTTTAAAGACTCCCACACCCTGCCCCCAACAAGAGAATTGAATAGTCTCGATGTAGTTTTCAACTTTTTGTATTTATTACAATGGATATGCATATATACAAAGAAGTTTAAGGAAAAAAGCCTGAAAGACTCACAATGAATTCAGGTATTAATATTAAGTAAAATAGGAACTCATTGCTGGGCATACTGCAGAGAAAGTTTATGACCTTGGGTTTTTACATTGCTCTAAAATGAATCCCAAAGAGGTAAAAAGCAAGGAAATCGGAGAGAAGTTTGATGAAATAACCCCAGGAGAGAAAAATAATCACCTAGAAGGGGTCAAACTCAAGATGAATTTTGAAGAACAAGCTATGGGATTTGCTGAGGACTGTCAGAACTATATGAAGGAGTTCAGTCTGTTTGCCTGTTCTTTGACTGGATTACCTGGGTGGGGCTTTCTATTTGAGTTGTTTATATAATGTAGTCATGATATTAATCCCCTGTCAGATTAATAGATAGCAAAGATCTTCTTCTGTAGGCCAGCACTTCAGTCTAGTGATTATTTCTTTTGCTGCATAGAGGTTTCTAATTTCATGTAATTCCATGTTTTAATCCTTGCTATTATCCTTGGGCTATTATAGTGCTATTTGGAAAATTCTCACCTATGGCCTATGTCCTGAAGTGCTTCCTCTACTTTTCCCATAGTAACTTCAAACTTTCAAGTTTGTTCTTTGTTCCTGTTTTTGTTTTTCAAGACAGGGTTTCTCTGTGTGGGCCTCACTGTCCTGGAACTTGCTCTGTAGACCAGGCTGGCCTTGAACTCACCGAGATCTGCCTGCCTCTCCTTCCCTTTAAAGGCATGTACCACCACCACCGGGAAAACTTTCAGGTCTTACATTAATACACTTTATTGATTTTGATTTGATTTTTTTTCTCAGAAAGGGAATGGAGATCTCGTTTCATCCATCTACATATAAGTATCCACTTTCCCACAGCATTTGTTGAAGTAGTCAACATTTCTCCAATAGTTGATTTGTCCCCTTTGCCCAAGAACAGTGACTGTAGCTATGTGGGTTCATTTCTGGGTCCTCTGTTCTACTCCAGGACCACTGTGTCTTCTTTTGTGTCAATGGCCAGGGATTTCATCACTGTGACATGCGTGGTACTATGACACTCTCAGCATTGCTTTTTCTACTACGATTTTTTTGACTATTGGGGGTCTTTTGTGATGCCATGTGACACTTAGAACTTTTTCTGCTTCTGTGGAAAACACTGGAATTTTGGTGGGGACTACAGAGACTCTATATGTAGATTACTTTGGGAAATGGGAGCCAGTTTCACAATATCAGTTCTCCTCATTCATTAGCTTGGGATCTCTTTCCATATTCTAGTGTATTCTTCAGTTTCCTTCTTCATTGTTTCATAAGGTTTTTTTTTTCAGAAGTCATTCCCCAACATTGTTGTTCCTCAAAACGTTTTATGACTGTTGTGGATGGACTATTTTTCTTGACTAGTCTTTCCAGGCAAATTTGCTACTGATCTTATATGTTAATTTTGTATTCTACAACTTGGTTAAAAGTGTTCATTAGATCTAAGAGTTTTCCAATGAGGTCTTTGGAGACATTTAGGTACCAGATCATGTCATCTGTAAACATAAATAATTCAATTTTATTCTTTCCTATTTATATTATTTCTTTCTTTATCTTGACTTATTGCTCTGATTAAGGATTCAAACACTATATTGAACTATGAGCTTATGAGCGGTCAGAGTGCACACCCTGTCTCGTTTCTGATTTTAGAAGGAAGGCTTTCAGGTTTTCCCTAGTTAGTCTTAGTTTGCCTTAGGTTTGTTTGCCTTACAGCCTTCCTAATACTGAGGAATGTTCTTCCTATTCCTAGTATCCTCAGAGATTTCTCTTTTTTTTTCATTTCATCTGCAATAGTTTTTGGCCAAAATGGGAATATTATACATTTCCTCCTGATAAGCACACTGGTGGCCATGTGCTGGCCAACTACATGAGGAAAGTTTCTGCAGCACTTCTAGACGTAAGTTTTAATGGCCTGTAAGGATTTGTTATTTCCTCTTTTTCTTCTACCATGACAACTAGCAATGTTTTCTGCATAGATGGGTCTATCAGCTTATATCCAGCTGTGAAAAATATAAATGTAGAAATGACTGGTTAATCTAATCAATATAGAACATATAAAATTAGTGGAAAATATAGCTTTGTAGTTGCACACTAATAATCCTGTAGGATCACCTGTAATTCAACTTAATGATCTGTATTTAACTTAGTTAATTCAGAGTGAAACAGATACTTTTCTAACTTTCTTCTAATTTATTTGAATTTATTCTTCTTTTTATGTTCACATTTGTCTGTGTGAGGGTATCAGATTCCTGGAACTGGAGTTACAAACAGTTGTGAGCTGTCATGTGGGTACTGGGAATTGGTCTTCTAGAAGAGCAGTCAGTGCTCTTAACTGATGAGCCATCTCTCCATCCCTGAATTTATTCTTACTTACGGACTCAATTGTGTGCTCTCCGAATCCACAGGTTGAGATCCTATCTCCATGTGTGACTGGCTGGACTTGAAATTTAGGCCTATACTGGAGTGTGCTAGTGAACGTTCTGCCACTGTGACAAAATATCTGAGCAGCCGTGATAGACAAAAGCTTTCGTGGGCCCCAGAATTTTGAAAGTTTTCAACTATTACTATCTCCTTTGTTGTAGACCTGTGACAACACAACACTGCGTCAGGAGTGTGTAGTTAAACACAACCATTTACATCCGAATCCAGGGAACAAGAGAAAAAGAGAGTCCATTTTCCCATAATTCCCTTTGTGCATACACTTACAACAACCTAGAGACTTCCTAAAAAGTCTCATCTCCCAAAAGTTCTACCACCTTCGAAGAACATCACCCTGAGGACCAAACCTTAAGTGCATGGACCTCTGCAGGACATTTGACATCCAAACTCTTGCAAGTCGAAAGGGTGGGGCTGGTTCTATAGGATTTGTGTTTATAGTTAAAGAGATACCAGAGAGCTCAGAATTTCTCTCTGCCCACCATGGCAGACACAGCAGTAAGACTTTCATTAGCAAACCAGGAAGACAGCCTCTACCAGGAAGAGAGCTCATGCAGCCTTGTGTTGGGACCTCTAGCTTCCGGAAACGCAATACACTTCTGTTAATACCATGCTTTGACTTTCTCTGTGGAGTTTATTATAGCAACCTGAGTAGACCCAAGGCAATTTTGTTGTTCTCTTCTCTAACTTCTTCTGTTGAGTATTTAACTCTTCTGTTGACCTCAGAATGGAAACCAGGACTTGTGTTCTGTTGGGGAAGGGATTTGGCTTTTGTTTCCACAGGGGGGAAAAAAACTATAGATACTATCAAAATTGATAAAGATTTGATTTGAACAAGAGAGACCTCTTAATTAGAAGAGATGATAGATCATCAAGCAACATGGCTGCTTAATCTAAACTAATATATAGAACCAACAAATGCTTTTCATTTGATCAGATACAGCTTGACAATAGAGAACCTCCCCAAAATTAGGGTTGAGGAAGAGTTTTGCTTCTGTCTTTTCAGGAGAATAAAGGCATCCTGCTAAGGAATCCAAAGATTACTGGACAACTGAGACAGCTAAAGAAAAAGGACAAATCATGCAGGAAAAAAAGGTCTCAAAAAAAGAATAAATTGGTCGATTGTTATATCACATTTCCAACAGGAAAAATTTCATAAATCTTCCCAAATGTTTGTTTCTGCTGTCTTCTACAGGCAGACAATGCAAATTGTCTTTTTGTAGTCCCAGTCTAGTTAAAGGTTAAAGCTTACTTTGGAGTTGGAGTGTGGCTCTCTCCTCTAAACCCAAGCATGCTTATTAAAGTAAAATCCAGACTCTCTTGTCACATGTCAGCAGAGCTACCTGATATGGGACAGAAGAAAAACCAAAATTAAGGTACTATTTTATTGTCACTAATCTCATAATCCTTTGGTTTTATTTTGACTCTTTAATAGGTTTTTTTAAGGTATAAATATTTTCTCAAACTTTATAAGATATATATGTGTGTGTGTGCACATTATTGTATATATGTATGTATATATTGCATATATTATATACATATACATATATCTTATAAAGTATATATTTTGATATACATTTAATATATATTAAAGTTTTTATCATGATATTAATGGTGACATAGAGTACTAATTCTAGAAAAAGGCTTCATCTACCTTCCTGCAGACTCCAGGCTTGAGTCTCTCAGTTTTCTGCAGAGAACTATAACAACACCTAACAGTGACTTGTGAAGTCTCCAAGAATAGGATGGAGCCCCACAACGACATTTCCACTAGGACTATGATAACAACGCTAAGCTGAAAAACCCCACCTGAAGATCAGCTTTGAACTACAAACTTCTCAGGACAATTTCAAAGTGGCTAGCTGAAATGATCCAGCCTAACAAACTACACTAGCTAGGACTGCAAACAAGCCCTGCACTTTCCCATTACATAGAGAATGGGCAACAAATAACACAGCTACCTCTCCCAGGACTTGACAATTAACCAAATTTTTTCTTTTCAGGATCCCCTAAAAATGATGTTGCTCCCAGGCAGCAGGAAGTAAACTTAAGAACACGATGCTCATCACATCCCAAGAGGTGGAGTGGGTGGTTTTTGGTCATTCATTGGGTTACTGATATTTGTCATTGTTTAGGGGGATTGGTTACAAGCTGTTATTGGTAATGGTCAGGAAAAAAGCTAAATAAAGTATATTAGACTCAGGGTTCTTTTTTTGAAAAAAAGGAGGGGCTACATATGACAGGATAAAAGGGTAATTATTAAATCTGCTTTTAAAAAGCAACTACCAGTTTTAAATACAATTACATTGGATTGGATTTTTGTATATTGTATACAAATTTTGTATATTGATACAAAATTGAAATTAATTTTGTTAAAACATATTGTACATAAGTTTCTACTCTTGTTTAAGCTATTATACCTATAAATCTCATTTAACAATGTAATGCAAATCTAGTCCTTGAAAGTTATTATTACCAACTATTTAGGATAATAAGGAAATGCAGATTAGTAATCAGTCACCTATTACAGTCAAACTTGTAGTCATATTAGGTATGTTTTCAATGTCCAACAGAGATATAGTTTAAATAGACAAGTTATCTTCAAACACTTCAGAGATATACAGAATACAGCATTTGCGATGTTTTAATAACATAGGTTCTTTTTTTTATGACAATGAGACATGTCCACTCCTGGCAGCACCAATCTACTTCAGAGAAGATGATGGGCATCAAAGAAACTCCACATGGAGTTTACTTTCCTTATGGCAAAAGTAAGCCACTGGGCGAGAAAGTGTTCTTGCCTTGACTGCTAATACTATACTGTCCAAATTGGACAAGCAGGACAGAAAAGAAAGTGACTGCCAACACAAGGTAGGACAGTCCTTCAAATATCCTGTTTCACAGATAAGTCTGTTGGCTACGCTAGGCCTTTAGGCCAAAGATAGATGTCCCAGCATTACAGAAGAACCTTGAGTAACTGTTCAGGCAGCCAGCTGTTTCTGTCATTTCTCACATTTTTGCATAGTTGTTTGCTTACACTTTCTGCTTGCTCAGTTAATACTATTTCCTTCTCGGGTCTTTGATGGAGTTGAAGACTAGATAGTCTTCGTAGTTTTCTTTGTTTACCAGACTTAGAAAAAAACTCATTAAAGAGGTATAAAGTGTATAAAGTTGAGAAATATCAAAAGATAGTTTTGGATGGTAATGCAAATTAAGATAGAAAGTGAATTAGGTACAAGACTTCAGACTCACCAAGATAGGATAGATATGGAGTAATTTCTCTGAATTTGTCAAATGCAGATGGACTAGACATTGTTGATGTATTTGTTGCCTTATATATTATATATATTGTACTTATTGCATATAGTTTCTCTTATATTAGTTATAACCCTTTTTATTTTAGAAAAAAGGGGGGAAACATAGTAATATTTTGTTTGTGATCTAAGAAATAAAATTTGCCTGATGATCAGGGTGCAAAGCTAACCACACTACTTAGCCAGGCAGTGGTGGCACACACCTTTAATCCCAGCACTCAGGAAGCAGAGCTCTGTGAGTTCAAGGCCACCCTGGGCTATACAGATTTAATTTGTCTAAAAGAGAAATGGCACTCACACAAAGGTGATCCCAGCACTTGGGATCCCACACCTTTAATCCCAGCACTAGGGAGGTGGAGACAGGAGTGATATGGCTGGGTGGAGAGAGGAATATAAGGCGGGAAGAGATAGGAGCTCATATACACTCTGAGAATTTAGTCTGAAATGCAGTTTGAGGATTCAGTCTGAGGTTTTGTAGAGACAGCATTCAGTCTGAGGATTCACAGAGACAGGATCACCCCTTTGGTTTGAGCATTGGTAGAGGTAGGAACTCTCTAGTGACTGGCTGCTCTGCTTCTCTAATCTTTTAGCATTTGCCCCGATATCCATCTCTGGGTTTTTACTAATAACAAAAATTAGAATTAGTGCTACATTTTTTTCAAATATGTTGATTGACTTGATGATTTTCCTCTTTCCTAACAAAAATATTTTAAACTATAAAATGTTTGGGCTAGAATAAGAGTTTCACAAGAGTGTTTGCCTGTATGTGCAAGGCAATGATTTTATGAAATAATGAAAATAACAAAATAATAATGAAAAATAAAATAATTTAAAGTATTTTTAAATAATTTTAAAAATAAATTTTAAAAAAAATGTCTGATAAGCACTACTTTGTCTGATATCTCATAACCATTAAATTATCAACACTTCTTTTTAATACTTTCAACAATATTGATCAATTATTTTAAAATTTTAAGCTATCTGAATATGTGAGTTTTTTCTAGTCTTATACAATCTTTTTTGTATTTTGTTTGTTTGGTTGGTTGGTTAGTTGGTTGGTTGGTTGGTTGGTTTGAGACAGGTTTTTTCTGTGTAACCCTGACTGTCCTGAAACTCACTCTGTAGATTAGGCTAGTCTTGAACTCATAGAGACCTGCCTGATTCTGCCTACCAAGATCTGGAACTAAACACATGTGCTACTACCAAAGGGCTTAGTTTTATCTATCTTATATACCCAAGAGTTAATGACATTGAGACTAGATGATTTTGAAATCTGTTAAGATTATTTTGAGGTCTAGTATATGCTCAATTTTAAAATATATTCCATGTGTAAATAAAAGGAATAAATGTCACCTAATTGTTAGGTAAATGCACATTGGATTGACTTATTAATTGTGCTGTTTTCAAATCTTCTGTATCATTACTATATTATATCTGCTTAATAAACACTGAGGGAGATGTGTTAAAAGTATTTGCCAATTTCTCCTTTCAGAGCTAGAAACTTTCCAATGATATATATTGAAGTCAAATTCAGTTAGAAGAGTACATGTTTAAAAGTTTAATATGGACTGGAGGAATGATTCAGTGGTCAAGACAGCTTGCTGGTCTTCCAAAGAACCAGAATTTAGTTCTCAACACCCACATTAGTTGGCTCATAAGTGACTGTAATTCAGCTCCAGGAGATTTGTTCCATTCTGCTGGTGCTCTACTCAGAGCACCTACACAAATTCACATAAATAAAAATAAAATTTTTAAAATGAAAGTTTAATATTTTGAGTTATGAATGATAACATGTACCTATAATCTCAGCATTCATGAAGCTGAGGCAGGAGGAATGCTAATTTTAGGCCAACATGAGCAACACAGTGAGGCCCTGTCTCATGAATAAATTAAATTTGGATCTACTATAATAATTTTTATTTATTTTTAATTTTTATTTTTCTCATATATATGTATATATATACTTCTTTTAGTTATTTGTATAATCATTTCCATTCTTACTTTGTAACAACATGTTTTATTATTACTTATAAATAAAAACATTTGTATTTGAGGTGAAAAACTAATCTTTTTAAATATTCAAAAATGTAATATATTATTAATAGTCTGTTCTTTTATTATCATACAATTACTTCATCTTTGATGATTTTTATTTCTCTAGTTTAGTCTCCATGAATTTAGTTATATTGTTTTTCTTTCTAATTCTATTTGGCTAGTATATCTTTAACATACTCTGTTTTTACACTGTCCTTATGCTTCATAAAGAGCTCCATAAGTCCCACACACATATCTGATATCATCAGATAATAAATAATAAGAAACATTCTATCTGCATTTTCAGCTATCTATATAATCATCTGTTTTGTGGTTTTTTGTTTATTAAAAATTTCCACCTCCTCCCATTTTCCTCCCACTTCCCCCAGTCCCCCTCCCCCTCCCTCTCCAGTCCTAAGAGCAGTCAGGATTCCCTGCCCTGTAGAAAGTCCAAGGTCCTCCCCACTCCACCCAGGTCTAGGAAGGTGAGCATTCAAACAGACTAGGCTCCCACAAAGCCAGTCCATGCAATAGGATCAAAACCCAGTGCCATTGTCCCTGGCTTCTCAGTCAGTCCTTATTGTCAGCCACATTCAGAGAGTCCGGTTTGATCACATGCTCCTTCATTCCCAGTCCAGCTGGCCTTGGTGAGCTCCCATTAGATCAGTCCCCCGGTCTCCATGGGTGAATGCACCCCTCATGGACCTGACCTCCTTGCTCATGTTCTCCCTCCTTCTTCTCTTCATTTGGACCTTGGGAGCTCAGTCCAGTGCTCCAATATGGGTCTCTGTCTCTATCTCCATCCATTGCCAGATGAAGGTTCATATTCATCTGTTTTGTGTTTTTTGATGAGCTTTCTTTCTTTTTAATTGTTTTTACTGAGTTATATATTTTCTCTGCTCCCCTCCCTGCCTCTCCCCTCCCCTTCAACCCTTTCCCATGGTCCCCATGCTCCCAATTTACTCAGGAGAGCTTATCTTTTTCTACTTTCCATG